TAAATCTTAATCGTTGAACGGACGGAAAAAAGCGTAAAAATTGTGCGATCACGGGAAGAGAATTACGTGAGAACGTTGATAGGATTTGATAGGAAAAATTTATTATTTTTTTTACAGCAAGTTTTTGTAGAAGGTGTTAATTTTAAATCTCGACTACTTTTAAATTCTTCGTGTGTGAATTTATATATATAGAATGAATAGAACGGAGGATTAATCTCGTCGCGTTGAAATTAAAACGAGCATAAAATGTGCACGTACATATTCCGCACATATTCGAAACGCACGTAATAGCGCTTAATAATCGCAACAGAATCGATTATATCAGTCCGACCGCGCTACCTCTGTGAGATACGTTTAATGCGGAGTTTAGTTACAGCAAACTACTGTCATCCCGCGTTCGTGTCGTTCCAATATTGGTGCTGGAACAAAATCGGATTATCCAGCATTATGACAATTTCCTCGAGAATAGTCTGATATCGCAACGTGTTTCCTATTTGTCTCGCAGCAAGAATTGAAATCGAAGTGTCTCTGCGCTCTGATACATTTATACGCGAAAGGGGAGAGGGGGGGGCGGGGGAAATAAAAATAAAAAGACTAGGAACAAAGGAAGCAATTGTTTTTAACGGAAGAAGAAATAAAAAAGAAGCAAATCGGATAAAAATGTCTCATTGTTAAATGGAGAATAAAAGATTGCACGTATTGTTCGATACAAAGAAGAGGATTAATTAACGAATCCGTTATTGTTGAAAAATTGAAACTAATCATCACAAGATGTTTGTGTTTTTTCCTTAAAAAAAAACAATGAAGTCATGTACACAGAGAAATATCGCGATATCGTATCGACACGTTTCGATAAACGTATAATCTCACTCGATCTACCGTTACAAGAAAAGAAGCGGGGGGAGAAGGAAAAAAAATGTAATAAAACGGATTCTTTGGAAAGTTTACATACCGCTTTGACTGAAAACACTTGCTCTGAAACCAATATACCGAGGGATTACAAAGTTTCCGCCTCCAAGTTACGTCGCATCGCCATTAAAGTTCGCTAGTTACCATCGGAAAATAATCCGCGTACTATGAGCCCGACGTCGTATATTTAATTGCTTGTTCTTTCTCAGCCGTTCTAATTTCTCGATTGGACGAAAAAATTATTCACGGATTGCTGAACTCGAATTAAATTTTACGAGTATTAGCGATGAGATTAACTTGTTTCCTCTCCCTCTCTCCCTCTCTC